CTTACTGCTTGTTGTATAATTCAATGTTGGCATAGCCTGAGTCATTGTGATCTGTGGCGCTTGGTCAGGACGATGTGAAAGGAACATCGACTGAGGTGTGCTTGTTGTAATACTATTAAATAAAGGGTTGAGCTTTGGTTGTTGACTAAAAGCACAACTGTCGGACACAGTGTTTTCACTCTTGACTGATGATATCAAGCCTTGCTGTTTCATACCAGTCTGCTGTCTTGGACTTAACTGTCCTGATTGAGGTTGCCCGCCAGACTGTGGCTGAACCCTTAGCTGCTGCAATTGAGTTTGCAAGTTCAGATACTGTAAATGCTGCAGTTGCTGCTGCACTTCTGGAGGAAGCTGGGTATGTAGTTTCTTGCTGTTGGCCACAAGCTGACTCTGGACTTGTTGCAGTCTTGCTTCATGAGCAGGCAGTGAGTTGGATCTTCCAAGCTTTATATGTGTATTGACTGGTACAAAACCACCACTTGTAACCGGCACAGGAGAGTTACATGATACAGATGTTGCCGTGGTTACAATAGAAGGACTTCCTACAGAAGTCTCATTCATTGGTTGATCAGGCGAGTTGGCATTCTGCTCCGCAGTCTGTTGCTGAACTGCTTTGAGTCTTTCAATAAGGTCTGTTTTAGACCCAGAAACAGGCAAACCTCGCATTTTGAGTTCTTTTCTCATATCTACAACGCGCATGTCTTCAATCTTCACAGGCTTCTCTTCATTAACACTATTATTATTTACCGGCTTTGGAACGTTTTCAGGAATTGAAGGCAAGCTCACAAACTGTGGATAGTTTTGATATAATACTTGCAACTGTAAATACAGCTGTTGCTGTTGAAGCATCAATGCGTAGGGTGAGTCCATTGGAAGACTACTTTTCTGTACCTCCCCATTTGGTGGTCGATACTCGTGATATTTATATTTCTTAAACTTCTGTCTTGGTGACTTTTTACGCGTCCTTTCCTTCCGTAACCCCTGCGGTACATCCAAAGTCCTCTCATCTAATGATTTTGGCAATTTAGACAATGCTGCTTGTATATTAGTGTGGTTTAATAGATCCGACGCTGTTGTTGGAGGAAATTGTGAAGACAAGATATTATCAGGTGAAGGCTCAGGGGAGCCATCATTCGATTCAGGTGATATTGGTTCTAGTAGTGACGAGTGTGCAGTATCTGTAAACGAGACATTTCCTTCCTGGACTGCTAGTCCTACAGGTGTTCCTTGCTCAAGGATATTCTCTTTGACAAGCTCTAAAGGTCCAGGTCTAACTGCAAGTCTGTCATTCAAATCGTCTTCCAGCTTTTTACGTTTGAGTTTGATTTGGTTGGCTAATAAGGATGGATCTACAGATGCYGAAGTATCTACAAAATAGAAMGATTGGTAAAATTAACCCAAATACAAAAGTTTAAAATGAAAATGTTGCATAGCACATCATAACGTTGCAGCTTGTCATTAACAATAATGTCCAATTTACACTTAGATATTGAGAAATAATACCTGATAAACAGAATGTAGCAAAACAAAAAATAGACCTAGACACAAAACCCAACTAATGATAAAATAAAAAGACATACTTTCAAAATGTTAAAATATAATGCAAAATCACAATCAAAAAAATTTCGATCTAAGCATTTCAACTACTGCCATTGTTTGTAAAACTATACACTTTATAATTTTAATTTTAAATGGAAATGCAAAAATTGCATTGAACTTGAATGATATGATTCACAAATTGCAAATATTGAGTGCAATAGAGGTAAAGAGAAACAACAAATGTCAACACTTTCACTGGAAGACAATTGATAAGTTGTTTCGATAACAATATAACAATCAGTCACAATAAAAATAGATCTTGCAACATTAATGACAAGATCTCAGACTGATGTTCCAGACAGTTATATAATTAGCTGGTGGTGCACAAGGCTTATATTAATATTGCACATATTGATACATCTTCCCTATTTTCACGAAAAGCCTTCACTAAAAATGCCGCGCAATAAGAATGCCCTCGCATACACAAAAAAAATTAAAAATTAATTTAAAAAAATATCTAATAACAGCATGAATGGTGGTTTCATCTTTATATAAAGACAGGTATAATGAAGCATGCACACTTAAAATATTGCTTGAAGCCAATAAACATGTCTAGATGCTCAGAAACTTGTCTGTCTTTCTTATTAGCATCTCTAAACAAAATGGATGCTTTGACTTGTATATGTCTAGTAAAAGGTGATATTTTATGATAACATCTTAAATAGAAGGATTAAGTTGACAGGTTGACAATAAGACTATAGATTCATGACACTAAGCCCAAAGTTGGAAAATGATATTTCTGTGGTGTTTAATAGTCTTAACAAAAGGAGTAAAAAAGCTATTAATTACAAATGGACAAAAGAAATAACATTCAATATTATTGCTGTTGTAACTTTGACATATTCAAAGTTATGTCCTTCCCAAAAACAATGAAATATGCAATAATAAGATACACAGCTATATGTAGCTGTTAATGCTTTGTTTAAAGTCAAAAAGTTGTAAATTTATTGTCTAATTTGAATGCAGCTGGATCCAAATGTGTTTGAAGTTTCTCTCCAGCATCCAGCCAAGCATGGAATGACCTGATCAAGGGAAATTATGCTGCAATTACTAGGAAAATATCTAGCTTCTAATATGAACTCTGCATTCAAGCTAGTCTTATTGTACTTCACTAGGTGGGGGAGGTGTAAGCAAAATATAATTCATAATGTGCAACCAGTCACAGGTTTAAATATGTTGATATGAAAGTCTACTTCTCAATAATATGAGTTATTCCAAAATATTGTACAAACAATAAAGAGAGCCATTCATATTCTGTAGAAAATAATATTTCATGATTGACCTATCATAGTTAGCCAGCCATACATGTAGTCTATTTCAATAACAATGGACCCAAGATATTGTGGATTAATAGATGTAGTTGCATTGTTGGTACTAGGTTTAAGGGTTGGCAAACTAGCCTGTATTACATAAAGGTTAGATTTCACTTTCAGAGAGTACTATGCAATTTTCGTTTATGAAGGAACTCATGTCCAAATTATTAAGTTAAATACCGTTTTCCCTAGCATGCAATTAGTGAACTAGTCACAAAAGAAATTTAATTGAGATATTAAAGTTTAATATTACACAGATTTGGATTTTAAGAATAAGGGATAGAATCTGAAAAGTAAGAGAAGGATTTCATTATTTTCTAAAGGACATTTTTTCTATGATATAATCTAAGTCAAGCACTAGATTCAAAACTCTACCAAACCGTGAAGCAAAAATAATTAGCTCTGCTCTTGTTTAGATTGCTTAACAAACAGTCCCACATAGAGTTTAAAGTAGCGTTCTCTTTTAAACACATTGTTGACAACCGAAAACTCCAAGAAAACTGAAATATGATATGGATTTTGCAGTCCTTAATTGTTTCCTCGACAATAATTGTACAAAAGAGTTCAAAAAGCTGCAACCAAGATGTTTGAAATGGTAATAACAAACAACATTGAGTGAAAGACTTTTGACTGGTGCAACTTGACAAAGAAAACAGAATATAAAATTGATCTTGTGTTGAAATATGAACAGTCAGAAATTAAAAATTTTAAGCAAAGGAATGTCGATTGAACAGATCGAGTATTGTTTCACGTTGAGTGGCCCGTGATTTCGACACAAAAGTTCAAAAACATACTCACACGATTTACGCACGTACAACTTTTGAAAATCCTACATCAATTATACAAGCTCGCGACATTTTGTAATAAAATCTTTTTAAAATACACAAATCATTAAAACATGGAAATTTATTTACGGTAGATGCTGTCAAAGGCCGTGTGAGGTTGAAGGACTTCAGTCATACATTTCAAAAGAAACCTTTCAAAAGTCTATAAAACGAAATTTAGCATTGTTGACTTTACCATTCAAAATATGTCTTTGAACAAGTTGATCCCTATTCGGTCGGACACGGATCTTCTTCTGTAGAATATCCCCTGTCTGTTGAAAGGAATAGAGATTAGAATACGGTCGTAAATACCAAAAGATAACGTCTGATAGTGTGCAAATGTTTTCACAAAGGTCATAATAAAATGTTATTCTGAATGATTCCATACCTTAGCTCGCTCGAGTTTAGTCTTCTGAGAAAGTAACGCCGGAGCTGTACTAGTGGCAGCAGCTTTAAAAGATCATAATAGATTCATCAATTCTTCATTCTGAATACTTAAAAAATCTAACTAAATAAAATATCATAATGTCTAACCTGGCATAATGCCTTGACTAATAAGATGCTCGCGAGGAGTACGTTGTTGGAGTTTTCTCTCCAAGGCTGCCGGAAGAAACAAAAACAACAACATATTTGAATAAGATGAAGTACTAGAAACATATAGCTCACACAGAACTGTATCTCAATGTCACAACCAAAACATAGTAAGTCATTTAGTGAATCAGCGGACTGGATTGCAGAGCAGAAGCTCGCAACTTGCCTTGACGGTAATTCAAAAATTGTTGATGGCTGACAGCTTCGGATGTCTCGGCGTTTGCATCGCGCGTATGAGCGCTCTCGCCCTGAGACTGCAGGTCCATTTTGGAAGGGGATTACAACCCTAAAAGCTCGCCTTCAAACTATTGTTTTCAGCCTCAATTTCTCCTGATCTTGGTGGACTTGACTATCAAATCATCACACACCAGGGCATGGCGGACAGAATTATAGCACTACCCCGGATGTAAGTGACGTCATACTGTCAATACCACTAAAACAAGGCATATGATTGGACAACACCGATGAGCTTTCAATTGGTTTTTTGAAAAAAAAAAAATACATATATAAAAGATTGGCCCGGAAATTATCAGCTATTTTTATCCTTCCTTCTAGAAAAAGTTCTTAAAATTAGAAAGGAGGTCAGCAGTTTTTTCATTTTGTAAATATTTTGTTTGGAAATGTTGCATTTGTGATACGTGACAATGTTGAGCACACGTTAGTTTTCAAGACCACATCCCGTTGCTATTCCGTATAGTTTCCTTTTCAAGGCTACGTAGAAAACACATACTTACTGGGAGAATTGTGAAAATACAATTTAAAAAAATCATAATAACAAAAGCTGTGACGTATACAATGGAGTGTCGAAACATGTCATCGCTATTTTTATCCTTGATCGAAATATTACAATCTTTTCTATCTGTTTCTGTGTCGATTCTTTTTGTTTTACGACATATATTTTACATATATCAAACACAAAGACAAATAATTACCTGGATTCGAAACTGCAGAAAAAAGTGTCGTAACTTGTTTATGTATTTTATTTATATTTATTTATTTGACCAGCATGGTTAAAAATTGTTCACAAAAATGATTTTTAAAATACGCCTTTAAAACCTTTTACAAAATAGTTTTTTTTTAATTTGATTTAATGTACTTTTATTTCTTCAGCGAGAGCTTCTTTCTCTATAACGATTGTCCCCCCCAAAAAATCATATAAAATATATAGAATATATATTATGAATACCAACACATTTATGACTGATATGAATAAAAGTTAACTTAAATATTACAACAAAAACAAAAAGATAATCTCAGGGAGATTATTTCGTCCTGTATTTAGCACTGATGGAAATACCCTGGAATTATATTTAAGTACTTTTTAAGTGGCAATGTTTCCAGCCGCCCCTGTGTTGTCGTCACGCAACGAGCAGCGTTGCGTGACGAAGCAGGGTCGGCTGCTAAAAAAAGGAGGCTACTGACTTCAGTGCCGACCTAGTATTTAATTTCAAAATAATTTCAACTAATGGTTCATAAAAACTGTGGAAAATGTGCATTTTAAGAGGAGAAAAAAAAATATTTTTCAAAGCGTTATCCACTTGACTGCCGATCGCTGTTTTCAAAGACAATGTCATGGGGGAGGGTGACGGGAGTGGTCTTTTTAACCTTTACTCCATATCCGGTATGTCTCTCGTTATTCGTATCATAATCATAAAATCTGCAGTGAAAGACTTCAGTTTTCCAGTAAAATTAAAAAGTAAAATAGGTCATGGTTACAGATTCATAAAATTAAAAAAAAATACACATATAAAAAGAATCAGTACAGATAATTTGACTGTCATAGCTAATTAGTCACCTGAATATCTCAATTTAATACTCACAAACTCATTTTATGTATTTCATTACAATGCAAAGGCTTACCATTTTTATATTCATTTTATTTCATTATTTCACTCGTTTGATCATCCATTTATTTCCTCTTTTTTTTGTGTTTTACTTTCATCTTATTCTCGTGATTTATTTGTATATTCCACTATTTTTCTTACTTATTCATTGATTGAATCTTAATGAGTTCTGACATAAACGTGAAGAAAGCTGACGATCACCCGAATTGTCCCATATGCCAAATAATTTAGCGARACAGCGCGATTCGGTCGATGTACGGTTTGACCASYAATTTGAACTCATYACTAGAATCTTCAGTAGAGATTGTGAACGGGATTAATACCCATAATTCACCTATTTATTCATCCGTTTATTCATTCAGTTTTAATTCATGCATCTTTTTATTGTTTATCTGTGAGGATTATAAATCCTTTTTCTCATATCTATTTATTCATTTATTTATTTTTTTTCATTCATCTATTAACTCCATATTATTTTAAAATCTATAGTTAAACATAGTTAAACAGGTATCAGCACTAGTACTGGACAAACAACTACTAATTATTGTTATTCGCAAATTTTACTTTCGTTTCGTGTTGTCGGCTCTTTTTGCTATTTCACATTTTCGCATTTCATTAATTCCTTGGGAAATAACTAATTAAACGTGTATTTTTTTCAGTAAACTTTTTTATCATCAAATGAAAACTTATTTAATCTAACATATTATCTTACAGCACAGAGTAACTTTTATAAATCTAGAGCAGTGAATGTTTTTTTCGCTCTATTAGTATTATTTTCTTCAAGTTTCTGAACAATAGTCGGCTCTTTTGAGGTCGACCCAACAAACAACATTCTCCGTGAAAAACATATTTTTTTCTCTATCCATTGCAGCTGTGATGGAATATTTTTATTTTTAAAATTTAAAGGGTTTGTGTACCTTCTTTTACATCCTCGCTGTGGTGATTGTAGTAGTTGTTGTCTGTGTAGGGTTTGAAGGAATAATGGTTGAACATTTCAATCATCGCGGCCATCATCGACTATGTCTACGAATAAATAATATAATTGTGATAAACTAGTAACTCCCCCATTTCAAATATTAATAATCGAATATTCTATAAATTGTTAAAGGTTATTTTACTGAACAATTAATAATGAAGAATCCACTGTATGACATTTAAAGCAATCTCGAAATAGATTTATCAGAAGTATATAAATTTAAAGGAACAATAGGCAGATCAAATAATCGCAATCGTTTCTCTAATAATGTCCCCCTTTCCTAACTCATTACTCCCTTCACAAATTGAAAAATTGAAGTCGATCAAACAGATCCATTGGTAAAATTCTGCTAAAGAGCCCTTCACACACTAGTCACTATCCGGAAAAACTAAAGCAGCTTTCAACAATTTCATTGAGACTACAAACTTCTATAGGAATTCTTGCTTATTTAACGTGGTCATGAAATAGATTCTCTACGGGTAAGGACTATATTATTGAGAGTATATTATTAAATTATTTGTTTGCTATTTCACTTACTCGTAGATAAGGTCAGTTCACGATGCCCTTGTCGAATACCAGTTCACAGTCAATTGTTCACTAGTCTTCTTACTTTCACTGTACGGTACACATTAAAATGAAGATATCCTTGTGTACTGTTATATCATAAAACCCTAGGTGTCCTAGGTACAAACTCCAATCAGCTGTGTCAACCGGGAGCCGTGTGTTCGTGTCTACCGTTTGGTTTTGAAAAATCATTAACTGACACTGCCTCACAGCCGTGAAATCGGATACTGCTGGTTAATTTCAGTGTTCTTGCGTGACAGCGTGACAAAAAGTTAATTTGTCTGTTGACCATACAAACCACTCGTTCTGCTTGAAATTAACAAAAAAGGTATTTTAGCTTGCTTAGTATTTCGCTGTAGTTTTAAGCAATGTATGAAGCCCAGTTGACAGATGATTTTAAAAACACTGCACCCAAGAGAACCAAAACACCGCGCCGTGCCCTTTACTTGTGGAGTATCAAGTTATAACACCATTGAGACAATCCGTTCAGAGGCCAAGAGAAGCCCGGGGCTCTATAAATTTCATAATTGCTTACTTGTTAGTAATTTAAAGTGTTGGAGAATATTTTGTCAAATTATTTAAATCAAAACGAAAATTTATTGCTAGTCCACCACTAATCTTAGGTGCATGATTAAATTTTTTCTCCCTTAATGTGATGAAAAATGGAAATGGTGTTAAGATGGAGAAGTGGGCCTTTTTTAATATGAACTGACAGAAATGGGAATGGAAAATTCGTCCGGTTTTGCCCAAATCTATCTGGAAATTTCATGAAACTGATCGGGACTATCTGGAAATTGCATGAAACTGATCGGACTGTGGGACAATATTGTTTATCAACTGATAGCTACTTGTGTTGCACAACTTGAGTTAAATGGTTTGACATCGATAAGTCAGATACAATCATGGCTGGGCTCCCTAGTCAAGTCACGTACCGGCTTGATTTACTGATGTCAATCAATGCCTATAACAATAGAAAGAAGGGAAGAGGTCGAAAGGCCATAAAACTAAACTGATGCACGGGGCTGGAAGTGTCATTGCAAACTCTCGCCGCAGGCGTTGATTGGCTTGTTAAACTTAGCCGAAGTTCATACATGATGATTTAAACAATGAAAATAATGAAAATAGACAAGTGAAGCTCGAGAGACGAGAAATTACAGAAATAAAAAAATCTAGCTGAGTCAAAAAATACAGGAAACCCACATGCTTTTGAGTGGGATTCCGGCTTGAAGTTCAATCCAGCCCCCACAGTCACAAAATCTGGCTTTTTGTGAAGATTATTATATCAAATCATATTGAATCATAGAGATATCGAGATGCAAAGTGTAATAAATCCAAAGACAGAAAACAATATAAGAGAGACTGATGTTTGCAATGCGATCATTATCGCAATCGTAATCGCAATTTTAAAGACGCTATCTAATTCTGATGATAATACATCCTGTATTGGTGAGCGCATCAGCCTTTACGACAATCGGAAGCCGCAATCAACATATATACGATACGTCTATGCAAGTTTTACTGACAGTGATTATCACTTTCCTGGCAAGTAGTGCCACCGTCATTTCCTCAATATGTGTTAACCATCAACCTCGTGCTAGTCTCCTGACTAATAATAAGGCTAGTTCTTCAGTAAAGGGTATTCCCCTATATTATGTACAAAACCTACGATGTTGGGATGAAGGCCTCGAGAACCAAGTAATCCTGTCGCCGTAATGCCCTAATTTAGCATTACTTAGACAGAAAGAGAAACAACTAACGTACTACTTGTTACGTATCCGAGGACTTACGTAAAATAGCGTGCTGTATCACATGATAGGAGCAATCATGAGGGGAATGGTTTGGAAACCTTTTGTTGTACTTCTTTTGTACGTATTTTGAGGTTGAATCAGTCAAAACCGTGCAAAACACCCTCGATGAGATTATGAAATTAAATATTTCAATGAAGTTTCGGGTTAAAAAAAATTGTGTATTTTGAAGAAATAGTCAGACAATTCGGATTTTCGCTCTGTTCATTCAGATGTTATTCAGTGGTATGGCTTGTGCACTGTCACGCTTGGAAAAAAAAAAAAAAACATAAAACCATTTCCCTCTAACTATGCCGATCACATTCAAGGTTATTAAAAGCATACGTTTATATAATCCTAATAAAATGTAGACGAATGTAATGTGGACTACAGTTAAAGTCTTATGCGTTACATAGGAATATATTGTTTTATTGAAGTTTACGTAAGACAATGTGGCAATGCCCCGATCGGGTGTGCCACTGTACGCAAAACGCGTRACTCTTGGACGTACAYATGGAKCTATATGGGTYATATCGTAATATTAATCATGCATTTTACGTCTCATGACTGACCGAGGATGAATACGTCATGGGTATTCCCCTACATGTAAGAAGACTTTGATTAGCAACCATTTATGGCAAAAGGAAAACACAATCGGAAGTAAACGTAGATTTGACTGATTTCTGTCGATTTCTGAGCGATCTCCAATTATGATCAAGTTACTTTCGTTTGAACTTTGCATGATCTTTGATACCGGAAAATATTTTGTAATCTCTATTTTTTGTTTTTCTGTGTTTTCTTTTGTTTTTCTTACTTTTCGTTTTTCTTTCCACTACACTTACTTTCAGTTTTGTAAATAGATGATGAAATTTGGATTACCTGTGGAACGGGGAAAACTGGGAACCGGAACAAATCCTCTCCTCAAAAAGAAACAAGATGGCGCCGACAGATTCGTGGTATGATATTATTATTTTTTGACATTTTTGCTCGTTTTAAGCCCTTTTTTTCGCTATCCTGCATATCACAATACTGAATATTTTCATATTGTTAGTGTGATATATGTTATTGCATATAAATGCATCAGGATTTTATCGCTTGTTCCCAACACAGGTCACATGATTTCTTCCCTTTTCGATCTATGATCTAAGTTCAAATATAACTTAAGATTATTGAATCTTTGTGATTACTGTAATATGCTTTTTTAGATCTTTGGATAACTGCCTGAATTTCTGTACATGCATATTAGTTTAATAATTTTTAGCAAGCTAAGTTGTGTTTGCAAAATCATCTGTAATTGTCTTTACCAGCTTGCTAAATAAAATTTAAGCTTAAGCTTAAGCTTATTATTTAGCCATTAAACTTCTCCAGCTATCATGATTTAGTGATTTTGTTCATAAATGTAGTAAGTATTTTGTTTCATTTTGTTTTTCATGTTCTTTTGTTTTTTTGTTTGTTTTTTTCTTCTCTTTTTTCTCATTTTTTCATACTTGTTGAGCTGTTTAGTTAGTTATTTTCACGCTTGGAGTTTCTGTTATTTGATTCTTGTGCATGTACCACTGTAATATTTCCAGGCAAAGTGAATGCCAAAATGTACAACAGTATGGACAAGACATTATGGAGAAAATCAACGAACGCAACAGAATACGCCGCTCAGGTGGAAACCACGCCAGGGTATGGATCGTCCACTTAGTCAATTAAACCTYCAGGACTAGATTTCAATGTTCTGATGCATAGTTATTAAGTTTAATATACTTTGCATGTTCACAATCAGGACGTCAAAATGATATCAGTTTTTATATTCACAGGTAGAATCAGATATCAGGATAATGTTGAAGACATTTAGCCGTGATGTTAACAACTTGAAACAGGCATTACTCAGAGCGTCGTCGTCTTATCATATGTATCCTTTACTGCTTTGTAAATTGCATGGAAAAGGAAAAGTTATCATTATCATAAATATATAATAATTAAATCACAATATGTTATTTGGTGTTTTTTGTTCATGCTAAATCAAAACTTCAAACTTCAACAAACTGAAAGGAGAATCCACTCAATACATAACTTCCTTTGCAGATTTTTTGTGGTGTTGACACACTTTTCTTCAATTAGTAGTGACTGAAACTAAGCTCAGTGAACTCAAAACATTGTTAATACTATTTTGTATATAGTTTGTAGATAAGAGTTTTTATTGACAAAAGCAATACCAAATGATGTTAAGCATTTTGTCATTGGAGTTTTGAAACTTATGAATTTACATGTAATAATAATTAATAATAATTGATAATAATTCATTATTTTTATTGCACAGGATCCATGTCTTGATGATTGTGTGCAGTTCACAATACCTCAAAATAATATGTTTATAATATTAWTATAAAYAATAATAATTATAATATATTTATCTTAACMAAGAYCAGAACTGAACGAGAAGTTGACAGRCGACAAAACATGCTAGACCAACTCATAACAAAGTAAGAAATCTCAGTAAATCTCTCGACAATAATTAATGTAGTTACCATGACTAT